TAAGTACTGTCCCAGTGATCGAGTCGTCTTCCTCGCAGTTTGGTCGTACTCAGATGTGAGGGTCAGGCTGCGAAGGCTCTTTCTCATTACAGCTCTTATAGAACCTCTACCCTGGGTGATGTCCGACTAGCACTTTGATGAAGCCTGCCACATGGAGTCAGGAGAAATGCTGTGTGTTGAACTGTGATGGAGTCGCGTCCACAGATCGCGTTGCCGGGCATACTTCTTCCCTGGTGCCTTGGTGTTTCATCCAGAGTAGGCAGGCGGCTGCACAGTGGCTAGTTGTATCGACCGGCTCATGTCAGAAATGGCCATTCCAGTCTGCCTTTTTTGTCAGTAAGGTCATTCTACACTGTTTAACTTTGTCAGCGTTTGTGCCCACACCCACACCCGGTGTCCTTGACATGGTTTTACCACTAGAGCGTGTTTGGCGTGTCAAAACACAGTGTAATAGATGGTGCGATGTTCGGTCCTCTAGAAAACCAATTCATATGAAGTTGCTCCTGAGCCCCTTCACAGATAGTGGTTGTCGTCGTTATTTGCGATTGATGACTTATCGTTTCTGCTCCTTGCATCATAAATAAAACCTTGAACATGCAAAATTCAAATTCATTTTTTCAAACTATAGGCGAACGTAACGCTTTTGCTAATAGACGTTAGACGTTAAAGTTTTGTCTTAGCGGGCATGAAAAGGCAAAATTATTGACAGAAGGTAGTTATAAAATGTTCGTTTTCCCAATTTCTTCAGTCTACACATTATATCATTAATAGACTGGAATATAATCCTTCCAAATCCCACTCTCTAAACCAAGGCCAATTGACAGAACACTCATTCATAGAGGTAGAACCGCAAACAATGCCCGCACATACGACGCTCCGCCAGAGTAATATTGTGTCGTCTGTTAGTCTGGAATGTGCTTTCTTAGAGAGCCGTGAACTCAGACAAGAAACTAAGGCTAGACCCTACCAACCTGGATTCTGTCAACTAGGCCGTCAGCCACACCGTCGTTGGAGCAACTGCTCTATGAATTAAAGCGGATTCGGTGACGATGCGGCAATATACATGTGTTTTTAAATCGCCTGGTGAATAGAAGAACGAAGTCTTATGGAACTTAAGCGCAGACACGGGAAAAAGATTGCTTGTACTAAGAATTCTTTATTCAATGAAGATAAAAGGGTCCTGGGAGCACTGAAGCTGTTCGCTCACGAGGAAGGGGCGCATTGGCCAGTACTCACAGTATCGACTTTACTCTAATAACTGAGAGGGGCGGCGTGAGAGAGCACTTCAACTGCTACTGCCTCTCGAAGACATACTAAAGTGGCTTGTCTCGAACAAGCCGCTGACATACACCACTCTTTAGATAGAGGGGAGAACGGGGTCTGTCCAGCTGGGGATCAAGTCTTTTATCCATTGCAATCGACTCCAGGCGCTTTTAATCTATCACGCCAGGTTAATATTTGTAACTTTGAAGCTGTTCCTTGAAGATAAAAACCGGCCCTCTAGCAGATCTTGGGCTAGGCTGCAGTGGTCTTTTATGAAACGCTTCTAGAGGATATATTTGGAATCCCCCAAATGATGCCTGGTCATTGTGCAAGTAGGAACTTGCTTATGTGCGACATCCCGTAACCTGTCAGCCACTGGTCCCGGCCTTCATCTACACAAGTATTTATCTTTTCGTGACATTGGAACGTGATGCCTGTGGGACGAGATAGTGAAGCAGTTTCTGCGAAATATGCTTCAAACTAAAAAGCCATCATTAATTGGCCGTGACGTGAAACTATGGATTTTACCTGCGCCGGATGGCTTTGAATGATGTAAATAAGCTGCCTTGGCCAAAAATTCGTGCATTTTTTATCACTTGTCTACTATTCATCTCTACTACTGACAATCTTCCAACTGATAAGGAAGTTTCAATGACAAGGTTTTAAGTTTCAAACACTTTCAAGTCTATGTCTATAAATCCCGCGGTTGTACTTTAATTTGTTTGTAAAATGCGAGTATTGTTCATATAAATTGTGCTGTAGACTTCTGAAATAATTAACAACGAATCTACTGTGTACGCAAACAAGAATGAGCACACACTGATCCACTGGCTTTCCGAAGGAAACAGGTTCCATACGGATGGCAGTTGGCTGTCTGTTCGTGAAATGTGCCACCCATATGGAGCATGTTTGTAAGAGGGAAGCCAATGGATCGGTGGGCGTTCATTTGAATAAATACCCGGTCTGCAGTGACAGGGCATTGTAGGTTGTGAGACATTGATGAACTTCGTTTCGATGAAGTGCTTATGACCCATCTGTTAGACCCATTGTGTGGACTCTCTGCGCCGTACTCGAGCGCATGTTTCTGTTTCCAGTCCCAGCTGGTAGACAGGGTTATGATTGGCTAAATGAAGGCTGCATACGGCCGAAACAAACTGTATTAGTCTATCCGTAATTTCTGTCGTCCCTCTACTCTGACATTTTCTACTGTTTTGCCCCAGTACTATCCGAAATTGATGTTGTTTTCATTATTTTTATCGTTGGTAGGTCCTCGTCGAAGCGGCTTAAATTATGTTTCCATAATATCATATTTTAGCCCTGATTTATTCCGTGAAATACTGGGGTTAGGATGTCTACTGGAACAAGATGAATAGTAGTGGGTAAGCGCTATTGCAGTGGATTAGTGAGAATCCAGTTTGCAAACTAGCAGCTGGAGGTATATGTCAACGCCACCTTGAATTAGCAACTGAGTTCGACTTCATTATTTTGAGTTTTGTGTTATGACTTCTATGTTATGTGGACTTTGGGGATACCTCGTTTCTATTGTAAACCCCAGTTAAATTCTAATAAAGGCAGACCGAGGGAGGCGTGAACCTGGTTTCGAAAGAGGTGATCGAATCACCAAGCTCTTTATTTCTTGTCGGCTGCATAACGGACTGAGCTGTACCTTAAACGCCTGTCTGCTATACTAATTAATAAGTATCCTGTTCTGCAGGTCTCAGTAGAAGGGCCAGTTTTACGGTTTGAACACACAGGCTCCCTTTGTAGCAATTATTTTGTGTTGTGGAGGAGTCCGAAGCGTACAAATCCTTTTTGTGTTAGACTCCGCTCTGGGGCGAAATGCTTCTGGGTTTATAGATTTTGCCATCGGCAACACCGAGAAATAATTTATCGATAGTGCGTTCATGCACAACGTCATTAAAGAATAAGGCGAATGTGATTTAGGATGCAGACCTATGGCGTACTTACCGTGAAACAGCTATCCGTATTCGGCGTGTTAGTACTTTAGCGAACTTTTTAACTTGACAACTTTGCAAGCCCTCCCATAGTACCCTGGACGGCTTTAGAGAGCAAATTAAAGTTTATATTTCCTTCAGTTCGCTAGCCGTCACTGGCTTCGTGGTGGATTCAAGGGGCAGGGACATTCTGTTGATGTAAAGCAGATGTAGTGGGCAAAATCATCAGTAGCTTCTGAAAACGGGGTCGAACGGATATTTCAAGAAGTGCGCTTGCCTTTGTGCTTATGACGAAACTAAAACCCCTATGAAAGCGTGAAAATTACCAGTGTGAATCTAGCTTTTTGAAGGTAATATCCAAATTTTTCAGCAAATGTTGACAATGAGTACAATTTAGGTCACAGAGTCGAGTGTATGGTTAACCCGCTACGTTTTACGATCACTGAGTAACAATTGTGATGTGATTAGATGAACAAGCTAGTTGCACACGTTTTATGCGCATGCAGATAAAAGAAATTCCGGGAAAGTTAACCTCTCGTATCTCCAGCCTTCTCTGTAGAAGCATCTATGCTCAAGCATTTGTTTTCAATCTAATTTCCTTTTTGGGAATCTGCGAGGCCTCTGAATTCGTTGTTATTGTCTTTATAGCACGTAAAACCAAGTAATTTGCTTTCACAGTAAACAAACAGCGCAATTTCACCAATGATCCATTCCAGGGTGAGCTAGGTGGGTGCATTTTTGGCATAATGCTGGTTGACGGTCAACGGTCAGAGTGGTGTGCTCGAAAAGTACCAGCAAGTAACGAGCACACTGCTGTCTTGACGACAGAGTTGGCATCTTAGCTGCCAAGTGTACTCGCTGGCCGAGTATGAATCAATGCGGCAAAGAGACTTTTTCGAGGAAGACAACTCATCCTTAGAATTACACCGTGCCTTTACGTGTGAATTTACATTCTCAGTACTGGTCCCCCAGTTTGGTCTTGATTTTTTACGATCCATGGTTTTTGCTTTAGATTTCGCGGTCGGAGCGCCATATGATGGCGAAGGAGGCGCTGTGGCCATCTACCACGGGTCCAAGGACAATAAAATTAAACCTCCCACACAGGTAAGACGTTCAGCCCTTTGATTTTTGAGAGATTTTGTTTAGGGTATTGATAACCTTCCAAGTTTTTCTTTTGTAAATTTTTAAGTGGTCGACGTTTTTCGTTTGTCTTTTTTCATCTGACATACGTCGTGGGTTTTAAGATCGACATATGTGACCTTAGAACTGAGGGTGGCTTGAGTGACATCCGCTTTCTCAAATGGCTTGTTCCACACTTCTTTGCGCTTGACCGTTTTTTCGACAAGATCTTCTCCCCTGTCTAAACTGTCACTCATCGAACTAGTTTGAAAATCATTGCAGCCATTTTTTTTACGAAATGAAAACACTAGTAATGGTTGTTTAGACATATGCAAAAACACCTAGACCTCCAAGAAGTCAAAACCGCGAAACTGGAATCCGACAATTGTTACATAGCATGATTTTAGGATGGCCTTGTTCCTTTCCTTTGCAAAATTATAAATATCAGCTACAAATCTTTATTCCGCGTATAATGACGGCCCCAATCCTCAAGCTCCTATGCCAACATCGGGGTCTCTATATAGTGTGTTGCCTAAAAATACAAGTCAGGGACGCGGCGAATGTTCTCACTGCATTCGCATTTCTTATTGACTAGCTACTGCTGGTCCTAAAACTCTTTTAAAATAGCCGCGCTAGGGATGCGCTGGACAAACATGAGGGCCAAATGAGGCACGGTACGCGTAAACCAGGCTGCGCAAAGCCCGCATACTAAATGTGGGGATGTGGTTACACGCCCAGGCGCAGGCTTGCGC